CTTCCCCCCCAAGACCGAGTTTCAAATATTAGAGTTCTTTTTTTTTTGAGTCATCTGAATAACAGTCACTTGTGTGAGCCTTTAAAAAATACGTGTCTGAGCATCACTCATCAACTTCACTGAATGTAGAGGTAAAATGTGGTGTGTTAACTTTGAAAAGAACCCATTAGCTGCTTAAAAGCCACTGCTCTAGACAGAGGGAGTCATCGGAAGGTCAGTTAAAAGGGAGACAAAGGCCAGAATGACTTAAAGAAGTGAGGTATGAGGACACAAATATAATAATCCGATTTCGTCCTCACATTTAGGGCATAAGGAAGGGCTGGATTTAAGGGAGAAAATGACTATAAAGTCTGATACTAACTATTTGATATGGTAAAATGCTGAAAAAATTCCTAAATTATTTTATTATTATTTTGTATACATTCAGATATGGTTTATGTTGAGTATAAAGTTAAGCCTTAAAATTTAACACTCAGGTATATGTATTTATTTCTCTGTAGGCCTCGAAGTAGAGGAAAAACGGCGGTGGAAGATGAGGACAGCATGGATGGGCTGGAGACAACAGAAACAGAAAATATTGTGGAAACAGGTATCAAAACTTACTGAGAATTAAAAATGTACATAATTCTTTGTACTTGTCTATATAATGTACTTAGCATTTGCATAACTATTTTTGCATCTGTCTTTATAATGAATTCTGAAATTTCCATCTGGTTAAGTAGTTTGATAACTAATGACAACATGAAAAAGCTGAGTTCTCGATCTTTTTTTCCTTGAGCCCTGATTTAGTAGGAATTGTTTTGTATAGGTGGATAAATTTTTTATCAAAGCAAAATTAGAACTGAGAGAAACAGTAATTCCAGGCCATTAGTTTGATAGTTTATAGTGTATTTCTAGCCTGTGAGCCATCTAGTGTTTGTTTAAAGCTTATTTTGTTAATATGTTTGTTGAGGAAAAACTATGTTCCGTTAGTGAATAATATTCTGAAATGCTGGGTTAAACTAGAACAAATAGTTTCTGGTCTGCTGAACTTTCAGTACCTTAAATAATCTAATATGTATTGTGCATCTGCAAAAGGTAGCTAGAGTAGCTTACCCAAAATAGTTCTTAAAATTTATAGAAGTTCAGTGATTTAATAAGTTATCAAAGGGACTAGATTTCATATTGTATTTAGAGGATAGCTGCAGGAGATAGTCTCTCATTAGCAGTGTTTCAACAGTCGTTGGATAGAGTTCAGGCATAGTGATAGGCTTTCTGTCTGAAGTTGAACATCATCTTGATGCTTACAGAATATCACATAGTTTTTAGAGAAAAGTTAAAAATTGTTACACCTTTAAAAGAATAATTTTCCAAAAAATGTTTATGATTGTCAAATGTATTGTTATTATGTAACTATAATTCTTGGAAAGCCTTGAAATATTCTACAATTCCTATCTTTCTTTCCAGTAAGGTCTAATTAGTTAAAGTGACAAAATGAAGCTTGGAAGTTGAGAATTCTAAATTTCACCCTTTTGTGCACATTTATTACCACATTACTTTAAACTTGAATTTATATAAGTTCCATTAGTTTTTTTTTTTTTTAAGACAGAATCTTGCTCTGTTCCCGAGGCTGGAGTGCAGTGGCATCATCATAGCTCAATGCAACCTCAAACTCCTGGGCTCAAGCGATCCTCCTCCCTCAGCCTTTTGAGTAGCTGGGACTATAGGCATGTGCCACAATTTCTGGCTAAATTTTCTATTTTTAGTGGGAAGAGGGGAGATGGAGGTGGAGGTGGTGGAGGGTCTTGCTCTTGCTCAGGCTGGTCTTGAACTCCTGACCTGAAGAGATCCTCCCTCCTTGGTCTCCGAGAGTACTAGGATTATTTTTTTGCAAGCAAAGATTATCACTTCAGAAGATTACTTCTTTTTCTTATGACTTTTTTTCCTGAACTGTATACTGTTACTTACCAGTGTAAAGTCTATTCGAAGCTTTAATTTTTTAACATAATGTTTACTCGTAAGTTACTTTAAAATAATGCTATCAGGATATACCACATATTCCTTTTTGTTGCACATACCAGCATTCTTCCTGGGTATTGTCTCTCATTTATTAAAGATTTAGATCCTACCTTTCTATTTTATTCTCCACTGCGTCTGCCATTGTCATTTTAATCTATTCAAGACCCTCTCCTCTTGGCTCTTGATTTCCTCCAGAATCATACCTCAGCCTCTTATTCTTACAGTTATATGTTAGCCTTTGTCACTGTGTCACTCATCAGGACAGTTGTTTCATTTCCAAAATCTCACTTTAAATTATCCTATGCTCTGACTACCACTTACTTATTCTTTTTCCAGCTCATTTTCTCCTAATATCCACACCACAATAATTTTCCAACCATATTGAGACCTCCAGTTTAGTGACCTTACCAGTGGGGTTTGTCACCTTTTCTAGCTCACATTCTATGATCCATCCTTGTAGTCATTCTCTCACATACCCTGAATTCCTTTGCCATCCACCACTGATTTGCTTTCATGACACAACCCAAATTTTTCATTCTCGCACCTGAACATGGCTGGAGAAAAACATATAATCTTGCTGACTGGTTTCATTTTAAATTTGTGGCCTCAAATCTCAAGCAGGTCTTGATTGCAATTAGAAAAGTGGTTCCATATTCCCCCATCATTGTTGAATCTACTTTATGGCTTGCCTCTCTACCCACATATTCTATCTTCCCACCTGGTAAAATGGGTTGAAGAGTCCCTATGGCTCTATAAGACCAACTCCTCTGCTTGTGTCCTGGATTCTGTCCTCTTTCACCTATTATGGACTTTGGGCCTGTAGTTTTCCTTGCTTTCCTGTGTCATTTATTATTATTGTGTGTCTTCCACACTAGAATGTAAGGTTCATGAAGTCAGGGGATTTGCCTGTTCACTCTTTTATATCCCCAGTGCCTAGAATACTTCTAGGCACATAGGAGGCATTCATTTCGCTAAGTGAAGCTGTATTACATTCTTATATTTTCCTTTTTGCGTTTTCTAAGCTACCTACTGTTCTCGGAACATCACCACAAAACTAAATTTCTGGTATTTAATTTTTTTCTTACATGAAGAGTAGTAAGCCCTACAAATGGACTGTCTTCTCATGCTGTCTCCTATGAGAGGTCAAGGCAAATAAGTTTAGAGAAGAGCAGAAAGAACATTTTTTTTTTTTTGAGATAGAGTTTCACTCTGTTGCCCAGGGATAGAGTACCCTGGTGTCAGCCTAGCTCACAGCAACCTCAAACTCCTGGGCTCAAGCGATCCTACTGCCTCAGCCTCCCGAGTAGCTGGGACAGGCATGCACCA